GCTCAGGGTTTAGGGTTTAGGGTTTAGGGTTTAGGGTTTAGGGTTTAGGGTTTAGGGTTTAGGGTTTAGGGTTTAGGGTTGGCCCGTGCCGGCGATCTGCACGGCCCCTTTACATCACTATTGACTATTGCGTTTGGTATCACTCCACCCTCCGAGAATCCCTTTTCATTTGAATTATACAAATATATGTATATCTTGGGATACTAGCAGTCCTTAATAGGATTATAAGAGGGGTTACTATAATCCCTATTAAGGACTGTTAGTATCAGGGGGAACATCTCAATGTATATCCATTGTTGTCTTACTTGACTCGGCACTATCTACATGCGAGGGTTTGATTGGCTTCCTTTCTGGCCAATTGATTCTGTCTGTTAGGGGTACCCCAAATTCGGGGAGAATGTGACCGACTCCATTCATAACCAGACACGACCTCGACGGCAGAAATGACACCATGATTTGGAGAAATTTGCGCTTTTGGGTGCCAGGACCCTTCTGGCCCGGGTAAGGTTTAAAAATCTTCATAGGTAGAGAAGGTGTAGGGTTTAGTGTTGAGGGTGTAGGGTTTAGGGTTTAGGAGTTGAGCGAAGGCGGCAAACCACAACAGCTTAAGCGGCTTTCATGGTGGGGGGAGGATGCATGGCCATTATGATGGCTCAATTTTGACATAATTAAGAAGGGACCCCTGGAAGGGACCCCTGATCTTTTTTCCCTACAACAACGCTGTATATACCTTAAAACGTCTCTATATACCTAAATAGCCCCTACACTCAGGTCCCTTACAAGGGTCTGTCCTTCAGTCCCTTGACTTAGAGACCTCTCAGAAAGAGACCACGATTGTTGGCGAACTAACCTGTAGCAAGCTAGGGTTTAGGCCACTGTGCTGTTCTAAGGGTAGTTATATGAGCCCTTAATATGGTCCCTTATTTCCTTTAACGGGTTCTGAAGTATGGGCCCTTGGTATAGGGTGTATGAGGGGTATACAAGGGGTCCCCCGGTAAGGGCCCACATAAAGGGACCATGCCACCACCTTTAGATTTGTGGTGCAGGCCGATGCAGCCTCCTCAGGGCTACCCGACGCACGTGCAGTACGCCGGGGGCTTGATCACCGCATAGGACCAGCATAGGCGCACTCCCCCCCCCCCCCCCCATGGTATCCCCCCGCCCCCTGTGGTTCATGGAGGGTTTTGGGGTTCCCCCCCCCCCCCGGTTCATGGTCCATGGTTCATGGGTTTAGGGGTTTAGGGTTAGGCTGTAGAGTTCAGGCTTTCACTCGGGTCCATCGGTTCACTGTAGGTTTAGAGTTTAATTTGGGTTCAAGGTTTGGGGTAATGGGAGGTTTACGGTTTCCCCTCTCCCCCCCTGTGGTTCGTGCTGGGTTTACGGTTCAGGGTTCAGGGTTAACCTGGCTAAGGTTTCGGGTTTACCCTTCTCCCCCCCTGTTGTTCATTGGTGGGTTTAGGTTTTAGGGCTTAGGGTTCAGGGTTTGGGGTTTTGGTTCAGGTTTCTCTGCCCCCCCCCCGTGGCCCGTGGTGTTTTTTAGGGTTAACAGGCAGGGTTTGTAGGGGATACCATGGGGGAGGTCGATTACGAGCTATATAGGGGAATAAGATCAAGGATCCTTTCTAGGGTTCCTTACACCTCTTCCTCGTAGTAGAGTAGGTAACCTTTAGCCTTTTTGGGGTAGTACAATTCCCTTCTAATCCCAAAGGTTCACCTTTGAATTCCCCCAGGCTCCTGGACAACTAGGTCTTAAGGGATGCCCCCAAAGCCGATTCTCTGAGCTGCATGTTCACTCCTGGTTGGCCCTCGGAGTCACTCTGATTTATGGGCTTAGGGTTTAGGGTTTAGGGTTTGGGGTTTAGGGTTGAGGGTTTAGGGTTTAGGGTTCAGGGTTTTGCTCTAACCCCAAGTTGCAAAGATAGGCCATTCCTACACACTCAGAGTGAGACTAGATCCTCAACCGGAGAACCCCGATGCTTTTTCGGGGTAAGCCCCTAAACTTAAACCCTAACTCCTAAAAGAACCTACTTGGCACGCTCAAACACAAGCGTTGGACCACCAGGGGCCTCCACCAGACCTGAAACCATCATGGTGCCGAACCCTAAACCCCAAACCCTAAACCCCAAACCCTAACCCTAAACCCTGAACCCTAAACCCTAAACCTGATTCCGCGCCAAGATCCGCGGAGCTCCTCCGAGATATGGCTTTCCGGCGCGGCCCGTGGATGCCAAGAAGGACAGGGGCGCAGAGTAGGACATGGCTTAGTCTAGGGTGTAGGGTGTAGGGTTTAGGGTGTAGGGTTTAGGGTTTAGGGTTTAGGGTGTAGGGTGTAGGGTTTAGGTGTAGGGTGTAGGGTTTAGGTTTTATGAAAGGGTTTAAGAGCCGACCTTCTCAGAATGGATCACTCGGATTGTTCATTTCATGGTCTCTAGACTCTAGACTCCTGCAGGGCTTATGTGGTGATAACACTGGTACGTTACATCGGCTCCTGTACAGACTTGGGTCCCTTGTCTGTGGGGAGTGTGTTTAGGGTTCAGGGTACATGCCCAAGTATTCTCTGCGCAGGTATGTGGATCCAGTGGTTCTTCAGCAAGAGTCATCATGAGTCATCTGTGATTTTGAGGCCATGAAGATGCGCTTTACCTGCTAAACCTAAAAACCCTAAACCCTAAACCCTAAACCCTAAACCCTAAACCCTAAACCCTAAACCCTATGAAGACAGGCCTTGAGCAGCGGCGGCATGGGACGCAGAGTAGGAGTTGATGTTTCTAGCTCCTGCTTCACATGGCAAGGTCGTGGCACAGATGCCCGTTCAAGGCTGGAAGTGTGCCCCAAACCCCAAACCCCAAACCCTAGACCCTAAACCCTAAACCCTAAACAGGGTTGATGGAGCTTTTCCATGTCGCTGCAATTGAAGTTCCCATGCGTTCTTTGGTGGCGGAGTCGCTAGATGCACTTGCCTTTCCAGCGATGTTTGGGCTTCAGGGTTATAGGCTTGTAGGGTTATAGGGTTTAGGGTTTAGGGTTTAGGGTTATAGGCTTATAGGCTTATAAGGCTATCGGGTTATAGGGTTTAGGGTTTAGGGTTTAGGGTTTAGGGTTAGGGTTCATGTATGTATGTATGTATGTATGTATGTATGTATGTATGTATGTATGTATGTAGGTATGTCATGTATGTATGTACGTATGTATGTATGTGTTTATTGTGTACTATGTATTGTGCATTATGTGTGCTGCGTAGTGTGTACTAAGTATTATGTATGTAGGCACGGGTTTAGGCCTTATAGTGGCTTAGGATGCCAGAGCCCTCTCTGCACTGGAGGGAAGACACCGTACACCCTAAACCAACCTACAACCAACCCCATTTTGAACACGGAGATCTCGGTCCAAAGTTTCTGGGGCGCTTAAAAGGACGGAGGGGTTCAGGGGGGGGGCATGAAACCCAACGTTCGTGGTACGCCTGATTAGGGTTTAGGGTTTAGGGTTTAGGGTTACTCCCTAAGGCTCCCACCCACATGAGTCCTCGCAAATGCGCTCGTGCAGAATATGGAGTCAAGGACCTTAAAATTCAGTAACCCTAAACCCTAAACCCTAAACCCTAAACCCTAAACCCTAAACCCTAAACCCTAAACCAATGTGTATGATTACTCTCTCTGATGTACCCTGTTTGATTATGACAACTTGCAATCCCTTAAAACCAGAGCCCTGGAGTGCTTCGAGCCATGCACAGACACTTAGACGGTCCCTTAAGGGGATCTCTTCTGAAGCTACCCTAAACCCAAGACCCTAAACCCTGAACCCTAAACCCTAAACCCTAAACCCTAAACCCTAAACCCTAAACCCTAAACCCTAAACCCTAAACCCTAAACCTTAAACCTTAAACCCTAATTCGCCGTCGTAGTGATGACAGGCGCTCGGGCGGCGCACTGCCCTCCACCCGTGGCAGCAAGGGTCTCAGATCATGCAGGGTCTCGGATCGTGTTCGGTGATCGGTCGGATCTGCGAATTCCCTAAACCCGAAACGCTAACCCCTAACCCCTAACCCCTAACCCTAAACCCTAAACCCTAAACCCCAAGCACTTGAGGCGAACTCTAGCCGAAGCCTTTCCTCATGAAGCCTACTTTTCTGTAGGCTGTGGTTTTCATCACGTCCCCTTAGAGGATTCTTGGGTCACCTACAAAAAGTAGGTTTTCGCTTCTTATTAAGGTCAAAGTCCTGTCTATTTGAGGCAAAGCAACTGTAAGCAACTTCTTCGCACCCACACCTGACAACCTGCCGAGGCAGTAACGGCTGTGCTGGCTGCGGTTGCCCCAGTCCTTTCTTGTCTCTCTTGCTTCCTCACTCTCGCACTCTTTCGGTCTCTCTCTGTGTTCTTAGTTCGCCTCTCTGCATCTCAACCGTTTTTCGAATAACCGATGTAGGACTCTGAGTCCCACTGCACCTTGCCCATACGTACCCCGCATCCTAAACCCTAGCTTAAGAGTAAAAGCCCCAAAGCCGAAACTTGTATCCAAAAGGCCACTAGACTTAAAAAAGCAAACAACAACTTATATCCATCACCCTGAGATGTTTTTTTTTTTTTTTTTTTGGGGGGGGGGGGGGGTTGGGACCACTTTCAAGTTCCGGAGAGTCGAGGCACCGACTCCCAACAACTGCAAGATCCAGCCGCAGCTCCAAAACTTGCCGTGCTCTGAGAGGGCTTAGGGTTTAGGGTTTAGGGTTTAGGGTTTAGGGAGCTGCAGCATGTGCAGCAGTAATAGAGGCAAGCGCTTCTGGGTGCCGTGACTGTGCCCATGACATGCAGGATGCTCTGAAGTTCTTTCCTCGATGCTGCATGATGCAGAGTTTTCACAACCGCCATATGTGCCCTATAGAGTCCCTATATACCTAGGTAGCCTTGAAAACTCCACCTTTAGTCCCTTGAGGCTCTCTCCTCGGTTGGCTCTCGCTCGAAGCTTGTTCCGCCCGCGTTCCCAAGCACATCCGTTTTTTGAGCGCGATGGCAGACAAAGATTTGGAGGTTGCAGAGGACGGCATGGAGTCGCCACAGCCCATCAAAGAGTCTGCCCTTCCTCCTGCTTGGCGCGATGTCTATTCCGGGGAGAAGTTCAAAGTTTCCTCCTTGTTGCCCCCTTTGGCTTGGCTACCTCGCTACGTCCGCGCCATGAAGGGCAATCCTGCGAAGGCGGACACGGAGGCGGTCGGAGAGCTGCCATACTCGCTGAAGGGGGACATCATCGCAGGGCTCACGGTTGGTTTGATGTTGGTGCCTCAGTGCTTGGCCTTCGCCCTGCTGGCAGGTCTCCCTGTGAGGGCCGGGCTCTACTCGTCCTTTGCTCCCCTGGTGCTCTACGCCATGTTGGGCACTCTACGGCAACTGCAAGTTGGACCCACAGCACTCATCAGCTTGTTGACTGGGCAGGCACTGGATTCCGTGGGCTTGCTTGGAGAGGGTGGGCCTGCAGCTGAGGCGGCCCGCATGGCCGGAGCCACCCAGCTGGCCATGCTGGTAGGCCTGATCAGCTTGGCGCTCGGCATCCTGCGTTTCGGCTTCGTGGTGGACTTCATGTCCCACTCCGTGATGAGCTCCTTCTGCACAGCATCAGGCGTCATCATCGCGACCTCCCAGCTGAAGCACGTGCTTGGCATCTCCATGAAGCGCCACAAGCACTGGTGGGAGACCGCCGGTGACCTGATCGTGAAGCTGCCCGAGTCAGATGGGGCTACGGCGGCTCTTGGGTTCACCTTGTTGGCCTTCCTCACTTTCATGAAGGCCGGAAGACACACCTCGGGTGCGCCAGCCCAAAGTGCGCTTCTTAGTATTCGCTATACAGAAT